TTGGGTCTGAAGTGTTTGCAGAGGAAACTCATGCCAGCATGGCTTGGAGCTGACTTTGTGCAATGTGCATGAATCAAGCAGGAAAGGAAAACTCTGCCAGGAAAACAGAAATCCACAACTGTGGGGGGAAAAAGGGGGTTTGATTGCTTTCAGATGCCACAAGATGGTAGCAAAGTACCTCTTTTTTACTATTAGAAAGGGTTTTGGCCGGAGCACAAAAACAGATAAGGGGCCGGTTTTTCAGTGAAGTTCCCCAAAATATTGCAAGTAGTGAATACAAGAGGACGCTGTGATGTAGAAAATGCTGTCACGGTCAACAAGTGACTTCATACCCCTGAAAGCCTGCAAGAAACAGTGTCTGAAAAAAAAAAACATCCACTAGATCTGTGGTGGTTACTGATTGTGTGGTTCACTCAACTGACTTATGCACAGAGACTGTTTGTGCCGAGTGATTGACTACCGATGCCAAGCAATCAATGTTTTCATCTACCTTTGGCCTGAAGTAAGCTGGGACGGGCTCCAGTTATCCGAAACCCTGAACAGGGTATGTGTTATACAACATGGATTGATCGATGAATGGTAAATGGGCTTTCACTTGTATAGCTCTTTTTTACTTCAGGTACTCAGAGCGCTTTCAGGCTGGTTCTTCATTTACCTGTTGATGATGCAGCATCAAGAATCTGGATTTGCTGTGACTTTCATTATGTGCCGTCCTTGGTTGTAACTTTCGTTTCTTGCGACAAAAATGCTTTTTGCTGTTACTTTTTTCCTCTTTTTAAAAAAAATCTTTGCTGCCTTCTTGCACATTTCCCTGTTGTTGCTATTTCTGTTTTTTTTTTTTTTTTTACCTGACTAACTTTTTTGTTCTTTCTTTTTCTCTTTTGCTATCCCAGGTGCCGATGAGCAACAGAGGTGATGTAATGGCAGAGCTCGCTTGGAGGACGGATCAGCGCAGTGCATCCACTGCTGTCTAAAAATCACTGCAGGCCACGCGGTAGACACTTAACAGGTTGAAATTTATAGTTTTGGAGTTTGAATAACACATCTCAGACAAGACCAAACATTTTTGGAATGCTGAAATCAGATCCCTCCAGCCCACTCTGCAACTCTAATTAAGACGACGGAGAACCACGCTAAAATCTAGCATGAGCATCACATGTAGGCAATAAGACTACAGATGTGATTTTCTTGTCGAATTCAATAGGAGGGCAGAAAAATTGGCAATGGGTGGACAAATTTGAAATCTGATTGGCTAAAGAAACAGTCCCATTGTTGACGTACATGTATTTGAAGTTACATCATCCAGCACAGGTGATTCTGAAGTCTCTGGGTAGCTTAGAGTGTCATGGCCACACATACATGCTGAAATCAGATTGGACATAAAATATGTAACATCCTCATCGATTTAGTGAAAGCAGCACAGCAAAGAGGGATACTGCAAAATGCAGACAGCAGACTACTGTGAATACATTTCCACACTTTCATGGGCCTTGCTAACCCTGACTCAATATAATCCTGATGTTATGATAAGGGTGATCAACAATAATTATTACTTCATCAAAAATCAGTACATTAATATATCATGCTCGTTCATTTGACTCATGACAGAAAGTCAAACCCTAACGAAATAGACGTGACTAATTATTTCTTAATTCTGCTTTCAGAATGGATTTTCCAAACGGTACTGAAGGGGTATATGCTACTAGCAGCGGTGATTATGATGCACTGGATAACACCAGACTGCCTCCCAAGAAGATCGTCCTTTCAGTCACCCTCTCCGTGCTGGCCATTCTGACCACGTTTCTCAACTGCTTGGTGATCACAGCTATCGCCGTCACCCGCAAGTTGCATCACCCTGCCAACTACCTCATCTGCTCGCTGGCGGTGACCGACCTGCTGGTGGCTGTCTTGGTCATGCCCTTTAGTATCATATACATTCAGAAAGAGAGCTGGGTCATGGGTAAGGTGGTGTGCACCATCTGGCTGAGTGTGGACATCACGTGCTGCACGTGCTCCATCCTCCACCTGGCTGCCATCGCCATTGACCGCTACAGGGCCATCACAGATGCCGTGGAGTACTCGCGAAAACGTACGGGGGCCCGAGCGGGAGCCATGGTGGCCGTCGTGTGGCTGTTGTCCATCCTCATCTCGCTTCCTCCTCTCCTGTGGCGGTACTACACAGGGGATGCCGATCAGGAAGACCAGTGCATCATCCTCCACCACCACATCGCCTTCACCCTGTACTCCACCCTCGGGGCGTTTTACATCCCCCTTTTGCTCATCCTCATCCTCTACTTTAAAATTTACCGGGCGGCTCAGACCCTGTACATGCGTCGGGAGGCCAGCAGGGCGAGCCGTCACTCGTGCATGACCAACGGGAGCATGATCCCTTCCACTTACCCCGCCGGAGACGCCGGAGATGGGGGACCTCGGAGTCCGGACCCCGTCAGCCCACAAGATAAGTCGTTCTCCGACCCCTCCACGGAGGAGGCGCCCCGCGAACGGATGCGCATTTCGGTGAAAAAGTTCCACTGCAAGGCCCGCCGGAATGACTCACGCAGTGAGTCACGGAGGAGCCAGCTCTCCCAAGGACCACGCATCTCGGGCTCGCGGGAACGCAAGGCTGCATCCACGCTGGGCTTGATCATCGGTGCGTTTGTCATTTGCTGGTTGCCCTTTTTTGTCAAGGAGGTGATCGTCAACACATGCAGCTCTTGCAGCACGTCAATGGAGATGGCTGACTTTCTGACGTGGCTGGGATACATCAACTCACTGATCAACCCCCTCATCTACACCATTTTTAACGAGGACTTCAAAAAGGCTTTCCAGAGACTGGTTCGGTGCAGTAGTTACCTCTGATGGTTAATGTACTGTAACTAGTAACCAGAGTGGTACAAATAAGTGGAGTCGAAAGAAAGGCTGAAATTCACTTGGCCGAGAGGGGGATGAAGTGGAAAATTGAGTGACTCTCATTTTCAGCCACACTCCACGGGGCACTTCAGCAGCTTCAAAGCATCAGAAAAGAGATTTGCATCAAAAAACGTGCCCAGTACCCAGTCCCTGTTATAAATAGAATAGCCTCTCATTGGTGTTAATTGGAGTGAGCGGTAGGACATTGACATCCTGTTTCTTTTTTTTTTTTTCCCCCTCTCTTCGAAAAGGGGGCCATAGCTGACCTTTTCCATGTCAACTTTTTGAGCACTGGTGATCCATCTTAAAGGTCTTAAAAAAGCTGCCTCTTCCATCTAATGGCTTCACTTCTTTCATGCCCAGGCTGCTGGCTGGATCACAGAATGTGGAAAAAAAATAAATTCTACAGCCAAAGGGGTTTCTATTCATGAATACAGCATTGATTGGTTGCAGGAGAAGTTGTATAATACTGTCATCGGGTATGCATCAAACACTGGGAAGCTGGTAATTTATGATGAATTGGATAATGTATGGTAGAAAGATTGTATTATTATTGCATACAAAAAAAAAATCAACTGCACGTGGAGGCCCAAAATTTTTTTAAATTATTTTTGTACAAACTGTACTTTATGTTTCTGTCATAAAGTCCTGAAAGTATTTATGGTGTTTTTTTTTTCGTTTGTTTATTTGTTTGTTTTTACCTTTTACTGTTGAGCACCTTTACTTACGTCCCAGCTCACTGCCGCCACTCGTCCAGCATTAACTTAATTAATGAATGTGAAAATCACTGGTGGAGAAATCCTCGTTACGCCCGCTCAAGTATTTGGAATAGAGTTACTATTTCTTTACTGCCTCCAAGAGGGCAGATAATACGCTGATGGAAATATTGGGGATGAGTCAAGTGTGAGGGTGTACTACGGTGTGCAAAAGATCTTATATGCAAAGACAAAGTGTCTCATATACTGTCTTTATGAGTGGTCAGTCGTTGGATAAAGTTAATTTGCTGTATGTCACCTTATCATCAATCACCAATAAACATTCCTCACATTAATGTTTGAAGTTTGCTTCTTGCTTTCTGACTACAGGTTACTAGTCCACTTAAATGTGCAGATAATAAATAATCGAGAAGGTTTGAACTGGCCTCTGATTTAGTTCGAGGCAAATACAAGTGATTATTATTCACTATACCGAATGGACTCTTAAATCCAATAAATCTAACTAAATATTTTCTGTTTACGGTAAAGTAGAACTTTTATTAATGCATCCATTGCAATTGGGCTTATAATATAAATACTGTACTGTAATTATAATTCTATCCAGCTCTTTTACTTTACCTGTCGTGCCCATTTGTGATATTAGACCTCACCCTTGTGGCTGATTGAATTACTGCAGTGCAATTGGCTTAGACGTTTTCACTCTCTTACTTTATGAATACCGATTGTATTAAGAATGATAGTGTTTTTCATTTCAGTATTGTTAGGAATTCCTAGATGAGGTACCCCAGGGGAGAAGCCCTGCGGCCTCGTCAGGGAAAAAGTATCCACGATGGAATTTCTACACCCCAGTTCTTATAATGTTTGTCCAAATGAAATTCTGATACACGAAACTTCTCTTTTCAATATTGAAAAGTCCTACAAATAGGAAGTACAAAAACTGTGGTTAAGTCGGAACAGCAACAGTGCGTCGTGGCTCCATCTCCCTTGGGGTCAGGAATGTCAGTACATTTCGAGGTTGAAATGGCATCTAGTTTTTACTTCACAAAGACGAGGTAGAAGCTCTGTCGTGACGTTTACATGCCGACCGGAAGTTAACGTGCCAATTCACATTGAACACAGAAGTAATTCGTGCACCGAGGTCGTGACTGGTATATGGAGAAATTGGTTTCCATAAACTCTGCCTCGCAACTAGCCGGGCCAAACTTTGGTCCAAGAGCGTTGAGTCGTATAATAAACCACGACTGCTTCATGTTATCCGTGTTGTTCATAAAAGCCCATAACACAGTTACTGTAGTTTTTCGGTGTCACGACATGATTTAATTACAAGGTTGCCAGGTTGGAGTATTTGTTGATTACAGGATATATTGTGTCTGACCTGGCAACTTGGACTATGCGCCGGATGCGCTTGACAGTATGGCGGACAGCGAAAGTGATGTAGAAACTGACGGGCTGGAATTAGCTTTAGAATCATTGTGTAGTCGATATTGCAGCGATGTGTCCGCCATTAAAAGCAAAGACTACTGTTCGGACTTTTGTGAGGTATGTCGGAATTGTTTACGTTCGATATTCCTCGCGTATTGATGTGTTGATTCTGGTCAACCACTACTAAGCGTTCCTGCCTGACGTTAGCGTCCTGATTAGCAACAATTGATGCTATCGTGTGCTAAATCTATCACATGGGCATTAGATATGAAACTGAGAAAATAAATGAAGACAGTCTTAAGACGACCGTCCAGTGAAATTACTCCCTGAAAAAAAGCAACGTTTAATTACAGTGCACTGGATGATTGTTTACAGTGATAGCTGGATGCTAACGAGTAGCTAACGAACGTCATGCCCCCAATGCCTGCCTTGTCGAGGGCAAGTGTCACTAGAATTCTGGGCTTGTATTGTTGTTGTGTAAAGTCTTATTTATTCGCTAATACCGATCTAAGTTAAAATATTGAACTCTGTTCGTATTCAGACATTTGCTCGCTTGTGGAGAAAAATGACTGACAGCAAGATGGACACAGTCTTTCTCCATTCTCTTTTGAGCCAAGTGACATATTTTCCATTAGAATAACCTCTTGGCACACCACCAAACTACAATGGCACAAAAAGTAAACAGCATATACTAAAATAATAATCACCTTGTCTCAATTGGAACGCAGACTTATTTGCTCATTGGGAAGTCTGGCCCTTGAACACAAAGCTTGTATTCGTTTGTATGAATGGCAATAGGTGGATGCACAGATTCTACTAGCTACTGGAAAAGCATTCCGTTTTTTTTGCCTGTTCAGAAGTGTCACTGGCATAGGTAGATGAAGAAAGATACATTAATTGTCATTAATGAATAATTCTCAGACCAAGTAAATGAAAGTTAAACACAGTAATGTGCTGCCCGTGGCACAATGGTTGGCGATCACTGCTGTCATCCAGCCCATTCATCTTCGACATTCACACCACTAACACATGCTCATTTGTTGAAACCATAAAGGCTGAACAATGCACGTGCCGCTCATCCAATATGGTATTAACGCTCCACTGCGTAGAATGTAACAATGTGTGCTGATGTGTTGAGATATTTTATTTATTATTACTGTTGTTTGTCGATCTTCCCATGTTCCCAATGTGCAGTTGGTTGAAGCATACACGGGCCAATGGCAAGTTCCTTTGCCTCAATTGAAGGTACTACAGACAGCGCTGTGCAGTTTCACAAAAGCCACGGCCAGATTCCCCGACGACTGTCAGCACGTCCACAATATTCTCAGCCGTCTGGCCTTGTGAGGGATCTTCTTCCTCTCTGCATCTAATAAAACCATGCAACATTGCTCTTCCGCTGCTTTAGCTCACTTCTCTTATGAAACCATCTTGTCTTGCAGGAGTATCTTTGAGCTCCTACTATTTTTCAGTAAAGAGGAATTTGGGGAAAAACCTTTAAAAGACATCCTCGACTCCTATCAGGTGACCCATTTTGCCTCACTTACTCTTTAGTAGCTTCCTGTTGCATTACAAAGTTGAATCATTTGTTTTGGACCTGTTCATTATTGTCCATTTACTCTTTGTTAGGCATGTCACATTGAGCTTTTAAGGCACAGGAATGTATATCTTCAACATGCAAGACTGATCATAAAAGCCGGTGGCCCATGGGAGAACCAGGTGTTGCAAGCAATCCTGAAGGAGACCGAGTTGCCTCCCAAAGAGGGTAACATTTGGCTGCATTTTGTTCCCAAATCCCAAAACCAAAGCTATTGTTAATAGTAATAGCACATTCTCTCTGTACTGTTTGTCTTCCTTGCACAGTTGATGATTACCTAAGCTCAGAGCTGCCTGTTTTTTTGGAGCTACGGATTCGCTACCTGCAAGCATGTGAGAGAATAAAGGAAGCTATGGCCTTGGCGAAAGTCTGCCTGGAGAACCACAAACCTGGAAAACATTTGTACCTGCATCAAGCTTACTTAACTTGTCTCTACAAGGCCTCGCTGCATGAACACCTTCACAAGCAGGTACCGAGGACAGTATTTTGTGTGCCGGGTTATTTGTTGTGCGATTAAAAAGTAAAAGTAGGATGAAAAAAATTGTACAAAGAAGTGAGAAATGTATTTCAATGCAGTGCGTGTGTATCAAATAAATTCAAATCATGGCGAAAGATGATGAGGTTGAAACAAATGTACCCCTTCCTCTTTAGATGGCACACATTGATGGCCGTGACGCGGTGGAGATTATCTGTAACACCGAGCAAATTGAAAAGGACGAGCTCCTTTTGTCACTGTGCAAAGTGTTCCTTGCCCAGCAGCTACACAATGGAGACATGTACTACATATGGTAAGATGCTGAGATACAGATGTTTTTTTTTCCCTATATTTGCAAAATACAAAGAATGGACTGAAGAGAGTAGAAATACAATTTATAAACAATACAGATGAATAAATGTAGTACTGGGAAGCAATTTAGACAAGCGCACGGCGTCTCCACTTTTAACTATTGACAAAGAGCAAAGATGTGCAATACACAACACAGATAAATAACTAGGACTGACTAAAAGGAGCTAGAAGCATACGGTCAACACAGGCAAGCCTGTAACGTAATTAATAAAGTTCGCTAATGACATTTCTTGAGCAGAAGTCTTGTCTCGTAACAAAAACAAATCTTATCTGTGGTAATAATTTCTTGCGTGAGGCCGCCTCTTAAGTGGGTGCATGCCAGTTACTTCAAACTTGTTTTTCACTGGACTGTATAGCAAGAAAACTTGACGAGAGCGGTCTGGTGCCTTGACAGCTATGCTCGGCCAGTTTTTCTTATCCTATAAAATCAGTCCGGGCTGAAGCTGTCATCCTCGGATTGAATCCACCAGAAACTATCCCACCAACGACGAACAAGCTAAACAATCTCCTGAGACGTCAGTTTGTTTTATGCAAGGCCTCGTTAAGAGCACACAGAAATTAAGCAGGAATCGGTTGCGCCGTAATCGGTTGGAGAGAGTGAAGCTTACTGTTGGCTTTTTAGCGTTCACACCCCCCCCCCACACCTCTGCCACTTAATTAGTTCATTTACTGTATGCACGTTGATGAGGAATGTCGGCAGACCTCTTATTAAGCAGGAATCGGTTGCGCCGTAATCGGTTGGAGAGAGTAAGCTTACTGTTGGCTTTTTAGCGTTCACCCCCCCCCCCCCACACCTCTGCCACTTAATTAGTTCATTTACTGTATGCACGTTGATGAGGAATGTCGGCAGACCTCTTCCCTGCTGGTGTTTTATTTATTGCTTCATGTAATGAGCCTCTGTCGGAAGGCGGTGAAAGAAGTTGGCATCCGCGAAGAAACTGGTCCTCATTAGCTGTTATTTGTATGCGGTTGATGTTGGACAAGTTGTGTAGCGTTCATTACTGTGCTACCGTAAACAGCCAGGACGGAGAATAGTGTACCATTTCATTTCTGGTTCTGTGGTTGTCAACTAATTGTCGCCTTCACTGTTTTCTGTCAGGGACTTGGCGTTCATCTGGAGCAGGTTGCATCTTCGAACCCACCCGTCGATGCGGGACTTCCTGACCGAGTGCACGCGGCTGGCTTACTCTGCGAAGAACGTCCGCGCCATCTTTCCCTTCATCAAGCTCGTCAGCGCCGAGGTGAGACTGCAATCGTTTATCTGCAGGATGCCGGCCAATCCAAGCATACTTCATCATTTCGGAAGTCCTCTCAATTTGTGAATCGAAATTAAAAAGGTGAACCTGCATCGCTTAAAGCAACTGGTGTCAAATTCAAAGCCCTGCGGCTAGATCTGGCCCGCCCCATAATTTTAGAATGGAATTGTTACTTTCATATTGGAAGAAAATCTACACTGAGAAAATGTTTTGTTCTTTGCTTTTAATATATATTTTGCAAGCATTTTTTTTCACCAAATCTCACCAAAACTTAAATATTTGCCCAACACAATTTTTTGACATCTGATTTCAAATTCCATTTGCTTTTAACAATGTGCATCATAACAATCAAATGCAGGGCCAATATTATATGGATATATGTAAGATGGCATTTATTTACACGTGGCCCGCGATTAAAAAAAATGTGTTTGACATCCCTGACTTTAAACGCAGATTTTGTCTTGTTGGGGGTTTGTTGTGACAGCTGGGCCGCGATGGAGTCCAAGTCTGCATGGAGCTTTGCGCCAGGGCCTTGCAGCTGTGTGACGAGCAAGCGGACGACGTGGCTCAATCTCTGGTCTGCAAGACCATCGCCTTCCTCCTGCCCGGAGATCTGGAGATCTGTCGAGCGTGCGCCCTGCTGGTCTTCTGCCTGGAGAGAAGCTTGGAAGCTTACCGAACGGTGCGCCTGCTTTACAAGCATCCTGACCAGGAGACGCATCCTCACCGCAGCCTTGTCCCGACCAACGTTCGCTTCAAAATTATGCAGGTGGGATGCCAAGAAAGAAGGAATATACGCAGTATGGACATCCTGTATATTAAGTCTACCGGTTAGGACAGAGTTACATTTCAAAATATGTTGCATCTCATAATTTCAGATGCTGAAGGGGCGTCTGTCATTTGACCCCGAGTTCTGGAGCATCCTGGCCCTCAGGACCCGCTGCTTGGAGTTGATAGACGACAAAGTCATGAAGGACGCTCTCATCAATGAGATGAGTCAAGAAGAAGAGGAGGAGGAGGAGGAATGCTGTGATGAGGCGCTAACAAGTACTTGTGTAACTGATTTTTATGCTCAACATTTAAATCCCAGCAAGAGTGCTGGGACTAAGTCTGAGAAAGAGCCCCCTCTTCCGGAACATACTTCTGAGAGCCACCTGGTAAGCTTGTCATGTAATGCTCCTGTGAAGAAGAGAAAATGGGGCCGCAGACTGCGAAGGAAAGTCCGACTTTTTTCCGATGAGGACGTCGACCAAGGCGACGACCCAGAATTCATGTACAATCTCAAACCCAGCTCATCGTGTAACAAATCTGCGTATTCACTACGACGCAATCACACCAGGCGGGAAAATTGCACTCCCGGCAAGCTCCCTCTTAATCGAAAGAGAGAATATTTATCCCGATGTGTGAAAAGCCAAATTTTGAAAAGGAAAGGCAAGAAAAAAAGATGGCTGCAAGGTCTTCCTCTGCTGGAGGCGCCGCCGCAGCCCGTCCAAGAGAAAGTGGTCGTACTGAAAGGGAAAAAGCGGGGGAGGAAGCCTGCGCATCGATTGGAGCTCTCTTACCCTGATAATGAAATATCCGTCCCCAAGGGCGACTCTGCCCTGGGGGAGAAAACTGATGCAGAAGGCGCAGAGGGGGAAATGCCTCACCTAGCGAATGACCCAGAAAGTGTGCGGATGAACGCCCAAGCCGCAGACGGAAAGGACGGACACGGCAACTGCGGTCCAAGCCGAGGGGAAACTTCCCCTATTGGCACTCCTTCTGCCGAGGCTCCGATTGTTAACCCGGCCGTTGAAGCTGACCCCGAGCTCGATGGACCACGTCAGGCATTACAGAGCTCTGCGATAGAACTGATGCACAGTTACCATCTAAGGTCGACAAACAGTGACACGGAAAAGCCCGCAGAATTCTCCACGTGCGAAAACGACACGGCGGAAGAGCCGCCAATCATTGAGGAATTTGAAAAATCAAACATCAAGGTTAGTATGTTGATTCCTTCCTTCCGAAAGTTGGTTTGTGTCCATATTTTATATTCTCGGCGTATAAGTAGTATAAGACACAAATCAGAAATTTTTGTCACTCCCTGGTAGTCCCCCCCGCCCCCCAAAATTATTTACTGTCATTTGATAACATCAACATACATTCGACCTCTGTATACTCGCAGTTCGATATCCATGGATTTGCAGATTTACAGAATTTCTTTTTTCAATATTAAACCCCCCAAAATTATTTACTGTCATTTGATAACATCAACATACATTCGACCTCTGTATACTCGCAGTTCGATATCCATGGATTTGCAGATTTACAGAATTTCTTTTTTCAATATTAAAAAAAAATATATAT